TTGTTATTCAAGGTGTGTTTTCCTGGTGTATTGTATTGACTTGGGTTTATACAATGTAACTTTCAGTAACTATCAACAAAGAAAAAGCAAGACATGCTTAAAATGAGATGGTGGTGAAATTACTGAAATGAGATTTCTGTATTCAGCTTTACTTTTGCACCCCTTGCTTTTATGGTTCTTTAAGAAGCCTCATAATTTTTATTCACTTATGTAAAAAAATCTTCCTAGTCGGCGCGTCGGGGTGTGTTATGGATGGGTCAATGGATGAGCGAGTGAGTGAGTGAGAGATGTATGTATGTCACGCCAATCAGATTGGATCTACTATCAACAGCCAATCAAATTTCTTGTTGTAAATGTTAATGGTATGTGAGAAGATTTGATCCCGATACAGTTTAGAACGGCCATATATTGGGCTTACTTCGACATTTTCTGTGGGTTTGGCTGAGGAGCTTAGTTATGAACGAGATCAGCCTTGAGTTTTGAAACAGTTCATGAGCTAGTAGTATGAAAATGGAACGAGATACTTTTATTTTTAGTTACAAAGGAAACTTGATACTTTTGTTTTTCACACGGTGTAAATTCAATTAGAGGTGAGGAATAGTCGTTTCTAGTTCTTAGGACATGTTTTAGAGGAGATAAGACTATGTAGATTTGAAGCAGTTCTAGTGTTTACAATAGTAAATGCAGGTAAGATTGTTTTGCTCTTGTTGCATGCAAATATAACGAGATATTTTTATTGTTTTTAGTAACAAAGGGTAATTTGACACTCTTGTTTTTCACAAGGGAGTAAATTCAATTAGAGCTGACAAGTTATCGGCTATTGTTCCCAGGATATTAAACGAAAAAGAAGCTTTCATTTCTGGACGGTTTTTACGTCTGTGCAGTAGCAGTTTAATATTTCTATTGGATGCGCATTTTATGGCATTCCTCTAAAGATAGAATTATGAAAACTGTTCAAATGTTCTTTGAAGACTGCGTGGCACCAAGTAAAAGTGCAATCTAATTAAATCTGACTTTTAACTTATCAGAGAAGTTTTTTCTCTTTCTTTCAATTTTCGGTGAAGTAGCGTTGTTGTGTTGTGTTGTGCAAAAAGGGTAAACTTACGATTTGTATAAAATGCGGAAAGCTCTCATAACTTGGGTATTTTTGAGCAAAAATTCTTCTTGGGGGCTGGAAGGGCTTTGTGATCGGTGAGTGAGGGAGTTATGCATGTGCGTGTGTCACAGTGTGGGTTGTATCAAAGAGCGAATCAAATTGCCTGATAGAAAATAAGATGGTTTCTACATTAATCTGGAGACGTGTCTGATTGCTGTAGTTTGTTCAGTCAAACATTTATGGCTTACTATTTAGTTAGCTTACCATTACCCATTTAGCATCGTATGTACAGCATAAATTCCCAGCTTCTTTCTTGCTCTACATCGCAACCGAAAAAACTTGTCAAATTAACCCAATCATTACTGTAAACAGTTCCATAATGCTCCTTTCTCTGAGACTTCACGCAAAAAAATAACTCTTGCACGCCTTGCGTGCCTATGTTTTCAATTTGTCATGTGCCTTTCCCTATTTTTTTGGTTTACACCATTAATGTACATTCAGCAGCCTTACAGGTCTTAACCCCTGAAAAGGAATTCACAGGAAGGAGAAGAATCGTGATCTAACTTCATTAGTCTCCTAACTGGTAATGAACCTGTGAAAGAGCACTTAAGAGTACCCTTAGTAAAACTGAAAAAAACAAACAAACAAACAAACAAAAAAAGATAATCTGTTCTAGGGGATTAAGCTCTTTCTGATTCATAGTGCTTCAATAATTTAACCAAGCACTTTTTTTTTCACTGGTACTCTGTATTCTTTGTCAATCTATAATGTTACTTTTTGAGTAATGGGGGAGAACTTTGATTGTACATGAATTGTTGTTGAAGAATGTACTATTATATAAATTAACTATACAGTGGAACCAAACCCACCATTGAATGTGTCAGTTGACTCCAAGAGCTCACGAGTAGTGAATATTTCCTGGATTACTGGTTTTGATGGGAACGGTGCAATTCAGAACTACACAGTGAAGAGAAGTCTAGATAATGTAGACTTTGTTGATGCTGTCTGTCAAGGATCCCTGTCAGATAGTTCCTGTGTGGTGTCCAGTGCAAGTGCTTCTGTTGGAAACCTCTCACCTTGGACATTATATTACTTTAAAGTGTTTGCAAGAAACATGGTTGGCACTAGTGATGGGAGCCCTGTAGTGAATGCTACCACAGATGAAGAAGGTGCTCTACACTTATATAAACAATGTAGTTTTTTCAACATTTACACACATGTAATCTGTAACATTTGTTGTTGCTTTCACCCAACATTACTCAGGCACAGATTACTAGCTATTTTAATACCAAGGTGAATCAATTTGATTGTTTGCATGTTTAAAATGTGACAGCTTTTTTGCAGCTGATGGAAAATAATG